TAAAGGCAAAGAATCTTCAAAATTTTCGATGTTTTAAAGGACTTAGCACACTGACAGGACTTAACTCGCCTGTGGCGCCATCTAAGGAGAAGAAATACTTCTCTTTATGGTCGCTAGAGGTGTGTTTGTTATGTGAAAACATAAGATATTGTGTTTTTAGTGATATCGCATCGTCTAAGTAGATTTTTGGTAGATAACAGTCATCCGAATGTGGTTGCAACTGTTTAAGTACTAATGACCGTAGAATAACTTGAATAAAGCTAATAAAGAGAAAGAAGGTTGACTATCTCATCTTTGTGCCAGGCAGACATAATGTCCCTTAGAAATGATTGAAGCACCAAAATTTCTGTGGGTATGGTGTGTGCGTGTGTAATGGGTTACCAGACTTAAGAAAATGTCAGATGTCCTTCGTGTCAACGTGTTTATGTTTTGCTATTGTAGACAAGTGCCACAGTCGTTGTTTTAAGACATTGTGCCCACCTTTTTTCACCGTCCTTGTCGCTACCGTACCTAACGTACAAGCTACCCAAAAATAAATTACCTCTTACTAAAACAACCGTATAAAACTCCCATCAATTTCTTCTTCGTACAAAAACAAATATCGACTTAAAAGAGACGTGCTTCACACACAATTTGAATAATTCAATTAATCACATGAACGACGCGACGTGCAGGAAAACGTTAAGGAAACTTACTGTATGCAAAACAATAAATAAATACTCAATACGTAGACTACACAACAAGCTAAACAAAACCAGTATAAATTGACCCTCGAAATAACGGCAAGATCATACAAAGCTAGACCATGATAAATTGGTTTTGGCAGCTCCATGCATCAAACTATGCAAAACCAGTATAATCAGAGCCTCGCATGTGCGGAAAGACAATACAAACGGAGACCAAGATAAATGGTTTTGTATAGCTTGTGTGAATTATGTATGCACGGTCACGTCCAGCGAGGGACTGAAGATTTTAATTTTAACATGACAGTGTTGTAATTGGTATTACTACAATATAAGGTAATGTCACGACTTTTTTTGTTCCACGAAGGGATAAGGTGGGGCTTGCATGTTAATTGCCTAATATGTCTATTACGCGCTTTGTAATAGGTAGTTAATCTACAGTCGGAGGTGGCATTACTAGTCTCCACGACATTTCTGATTATTTCGAAAATCCCGCCTCACCCAGGCGGGAGCAGTCATTCGATGATTTCCCCCCCTTAAAATTAAAAAAAAATACGTATAATAAAATCGTAGGAAAGTCAAAACTGTACATTTAATATTTTTTTTAAAGAATACGTGGAGCGTGATTTACTATCGATACCGTAGCCAAATGTATAGATTTTGGAATTTTTGTCTGTTTGTATGTCCGGGATGATTTCAAAAAGTACTGCATGTATATTGGATATACTTCAAATTTTGCATGAATATTACTAACAGGTCGGGTTAACATATAGGCTACATATTATCACGCTATCATCTAAGGGAGAGGAGGTTCTTACTAGGTACTGAATCAATTTTGACGACATTCGTTACCGTAGAATATCCTTTGATAAAGACTAATTCAAAAGCATAAATTTTGCCAGAAGTCATTATTCTACGCGAAGTCGCGGGCAACAGCTAGTCCATAATAAAATAAATGACGTCTTATTAAACCCAAACAGCATCTAATGCGGCCTCCTTATCGACAATTCATACCGATTCGATCATTCGATGCGCGTCGCTAGCTACAAGTCTAATAATCGATTCATTGATTGTATCTGTCTTTATCGAGATATTATTATAAATGTTCTTTGTTAACAAATGACTCGTGTTTAAATGGTTTCGTTTATAATATTACTTGTTTTGTATTGGTGTACTCTGTTTTTAGGGATGGATTATACTTACATCTTTCATTCTTGTGATCTGTTGAACTGGTTTTAGGGTCAATCGTCCAAATTCATTTGATTGTCTGAGATAGAGAAAATAACGTTTGCCCTCCACAACCTGCTAAGGGCAATATTAATTTTCACAATTATATCAAAATAGCAGCCCGTCCCGGCTTCGCACGGGGTAGACAATTATTTTATTTTTGGAAATTTGGATTGTTGTAGTAACACAACTACAATAGTTGGACATAATATGCTACCGTGGAGTTTGTTGTAGACATTATGATGTTCTTCAATATTGTTGTACCTACATTATTTTGTTCTATCGCTAATAGTTTCGGCAGCGCATTCCACGAAAGACATTTTAAGACTCTTTTTTCTTCACCTTCGGTTACATTGTTCAAATTTTACCAAGGATCCCTAATTTTTTCCAAAATGAAATGTAGCCTATGTCAAATTGGAAGAATGTAGCATTCTATTGGTGAAAGAATTTTTTAAATCAGCTCAGTACTTTTGAGCCTATTCATTACAAACATACAAACATACAAAAATAGGTACAAAACTTTCCTCTTTATAATATTTATATCAAACTAGCAAACCCGGCGAACTCCGTTTCGCCACCAGATGGCTTCGTTCTATGCAACATTTCGTTTGGTGATTAAATTTGAATTTTCTTTACTTTAAACCTCACGGAGCCCGAGACCTTTCCAACGAATGCAAAACCGTGGAAATCGGCTCGTGCGTTCTGGAGTTATAGCGTCAGGAAGGAAAACGCGACTTCCGCGGGCCGTCTCGACCGGATTGATACCATGGCCCCATAGAACACCGACGTGAAACAACGCTGGTTACCGGAGGCCCAAATACCGCAATACAAAATGACATTTGACATGCCTACCGTTCAATAAGTTACGTTAGGCGTGAATAACACATATTATGTTATCTTAACCGTTTCGCAAAAGACTTTGGGTCTGTGAGCACATAATGTAATTTTTTCTAGCGTCGTAAATCTTTATGTAATGTGGTTTAGAAATAATGTCAATTGTATGCGTTCGTGTGATAGTTTTTAATCAAAAGTAAAAAAAGTCAAAATCATTTATTTCAATTAGATCAGAAAGACACTTTTGAACGTCAACAAAAAAAATAAAAGTTTTTTGCTCATTCCAAGGTGTAGATTCATATGGAGAAGAACGTTCACAATAATCACAATATAATTCTCTAGTTACACAGTTTTGTTGTAATCTAAATACATTATGACTTATTGCCTGGTCTCTTTATTATAGAAGAAACTGTATCATCATCATCATCAGACCGTGTTCCTCCACTGCTGGACGTAGACCTCTCCAATGGCACGCCACTGAGCTCGGTCCTCAGCTCTTCTCATTCAACCACTGCCTTGAGGATGTAATGATAAACTACGTTTGCCTAGACGCGGTCTCCACTCTAGAACACGTTTACCCCAACGGTCATCGGTTCTTCATCAAAAATGACCGGCCCACTGCTACTTCAGCTTACTAAATCCTTCCTTTCCGCTGTCTGTCCATATGTTTGCCTAGATCATTAAAACTACTTAACGGATTTTGATGCGGTTTTTTTATAGATAGAGTGATTTAAAAATGGTGGCTTAGGAGTAGGTTTTAGGTTTGCCTGAGGTTATTTGAGGCCCAATTACAACCCCCAACGTCTTCCCCAATCTCTCCAATCCTCTCCCTGAATCCCAACAATCCTCAAATTCCTAATCCCCAAAAGGCCGGTAATGCACTTGTAACGCCTCTGGTGTTCCGGGCGGCGCGCAAATTGCTTACCATCAGGTGATCCGTCTGCTCGTTTACCAATAAAAAAAACGCGAGATCTCATGCTCAGCGGTCACGCTTGCGACTAATTACCAAGAAGCGACGAAATAAAATAAAAGAAATAAATTTATTTACAATGGAAATCTAACGAACATTAACTAATTATAAAAATACAAAAACACGTGTATTATTTTTAGACTCGTTTTTTTATAATATTTACTTGTTATCGGCTTTTTGTGTTAATTGTATCGACAAGTATTAAAATACCTGAATACAAATTGAACATTGACCTTTTAAAATGTACTCGATAACTTTTAAGTACTTGGGAACAGGTCAAAATTAATTAACACGTTCATTTTATAGTGACTGTCTTGATGGTCAAGTCAAGAGTCGCAAGCAAGTCGTTTGTATCGTAGACCCCCGTGCAGTTTCACTCGCTCTGCTCGACTCCTATTATTCGTAGCGCGTTCATACAAATAAACAAACACTTCAGCTTTATACAATACTATAAGATACAATATTAAAATCAAATAAGTATTATTGTCTCATTTTTTATGGGATAAGCCGGTAAACGAACAGACGGATCACCTGATGGTAAGCATTCGGCACCGCCCATGGACAGCCCATTTTATCTAGGAAGGCTTATAGGATTGGGTATACCATGTTACGATCAATAGGCATCGAGCAGAGCGAGTGAAACCGCGCTATAGATACCTAGCTATAATGTTATAATTTACAAAATGAAGCCCGATAATCATCGAAATAAAATTAAAAAAATGTTGGCACATAAAAATGAAAAATCACGTTCCGATCGATTCATTAATAGAAAAACGTCTGTTTTTATCGATATCTACGCAAAAACGTAAATACGTTGTTATAATCTTTTCCTATTTCCTATATTTGTGCGAAAATTCTCAATATGATAATTATTATGGCCTTGAATGATAACATTCAGAATGAGGTGAGAATAGGTGCCTTTGATGGTTCGTGGTCGCACGTTTTGGCAGCCATGATTGTTTTTTGTTTTTTTTTTATTGTTGTGGTCATAGATAGGTGCGATATTACGCTATTCGTCCTATTATTAAAATAGGTTGTGTTTAACTTGCTTGGTTTTTTAATGTTAAGCATGTTTTTGTGAGGTTACTTTGTTTGTAAATATTGTGTAAGATATATTCGATAGATTTCAAAATGTGTTTACGTACATACATTTTTGAACTTTGTAAAGTATTACAATGTCAGTAATTATGAATTCTACCCTACATGTTTATTGAAGTGGAACCTGTCGTAGGTATTATGTTGTTCTCTCATTAATTAACTCACCTATTCCTTTCTCTCTTTCACAGATATGGCAATGAGCGAGACAACGCTATCCAAATGTCACAAAAATTTCAACCGTCGACCCGCCGACTTGTGTACAATGTGATTTTATGAAATAAGTTCAAAAATTAACTAAGTTCTGTAAATGTAAGTGTGAAATAGTGTCTGTAAGTGTCAAAAAACGCATTCCGTTCATATTTCGTGCTCAAAATCGTGTAAAAATCTCTGTGCTGTGCTCAAAACATCCAGTTCCTTGAAAATGGCTAGTGACTCAAAATACGTCCATTATTGCATACAGTGAATTGAATAAGTGCTTTCTTAGTGCAAAATAGTGTTTTCAAATTAGTTTTCTACTAATAATTCTAACGAGAAATTGGCGCGTGTGAATAGTGTTAACCAACACCATCTATTGTGCAATGGATTGAGTGATTTATCGTGGAGTTGTGTACAGCGCCATCTGTTATTGAGTAGCGGCAATGTTTAGTACCTGATATTGCCATGGAGGCCGGTTTCATACCGGTTAGTGCCGGCAATGGCGGTAATGCGTCGCAAGTTAATTCCGTGGTGGCGCCACCGGCTAACGTTATTCGCGCGCCGGGTTTGAAGCGCGGGAAAATGGAAGAAGCTATATCGGATCGGGTAAGTGAATTGAACTTTATAAATAGTTGGTTTAAAGATGAAAATAATTCTAAATAAGTAAATGTATTGACAACGCCTGCTAACATACGTTAGTAATCTTTGTATGAAAAATGATTTCGTCACGAAGTATTCTGAAAATGGCGCGTTTAAACAGTTAGCGAGTCGTGTCCGGAATACTTATCTAATACATATGCAAAACATACTGTCATTCGTCATCAATGTCAATATTATGGATATTTGAACCTTAATACACGTGCCTAGGCTTCTGTGAAGATAAGTACGAATAGAGACGGAATTTCAGATAGGTGCAGAAATCATTATCTTGAACCTATCCACCAAATGACCCAGTGCTTCCTCCTTGAAAGCTGGCAACTTGCAACCCGTCTGGTGGCGTATCTATCAGTCTTTGGATGGCACAGATAACTTATTGTACAAAAAAGGGATCCATGTACTCGCCGGTCCCTATTAAAAGTTGTCAGATCGCGTGTTACAAAGGGTTGAATATCGTAAAATCGCTATCGATCTGAATAGAAACAAAATGTGTTTAAGTAAACACATTTTAACTCCTGGAAATCTTCATCATCATCATCATATCAGCCACAGGACGTCCACTACTAAACATAGGCCTCCCCGAATGACTTCTAGATAGGCCGGTTGGAAGTGACCTGCATCCAGCGGCTCCCTGGATATCTTATATCCCCTTTATAATAGTTGTTCTCAGTTAGTAAAACTTTTCACAAAAAAAACAGACATTACAATTTCCTTTCTCAAACCTCTCGCATTCTTGAAATAATGGAATGCACCAGCTGTGTAGTCAGTCGGCATCGTTTGAAACGAACTGAGCGAAAAATTGGCGGTCCACTGCACTGCTGGACCGAATTGCATTATAGTACGACGACCGATCTGCATATCTTGATGAATTTGGTTTATTCTTTGCTTAAGATTTGCGGTTTTAAATTCACAGACGAATTTAACGTAAGTTTGTAGATACATAAAGTTTTCTTCCTTGGTACATACTCTTTGTCTACAATTGGGGTACGCAGAGACAATAGAACGCTAAATAGCACAATTCTATCATATTTCTTTCGCTTTATCTACATTTATCAATGTCTTAATGCATGCTCGTCGAACGTGTTCTCTTCCGTGGTCTTCTCTGATTCTCTGCTTGTGAAGAAACAGCACTTCCACATCGATGTCACACACAGAATAAAAAAAAATCGAGTGACATAATAATATTAATGATTATGTTTTTCGGCTTACTTACGTAATTGTTTGACGAGGAATTTGACTAGTTTCAAGCCATTCTAGAGGCTCCTATTCATGTACAGCATTCCGCGACACACGACGCCGTGACTGTCGCGCTACAAACAGATACGTGAGCAAGCTAAAAACAAAATAATTATGAAAAATATTGCTTGAATTTTATTGCTTGAAAAATATTGCTTGAAGTACTTTCTAGCCTAAAATAACCTACGCCCTTAATTACCATAAGTCTGTCCGTTCCAAATAATCTCAAGATTTTCCTGACATCTATATTTTTTCAAGATGTAGGCCCTTTGCCTCTGAGGGCTCTCAAGCCTCTCAAAACGGTCGTGGGCACTCGTGGGTCGTCACAGTTCGTCTTTACGTTTTCCCTTTTTATTTCGCAGCCATTTTTAAAAATGTTTTCTTTAAAAATAACTCTGATATTTTTACTTTCTGTAGTTATCACAAGTACACAAGTCACTGCAACGCATTCGGGAACGATAACTAGCCTCATTATAGCATTATAGCCCTGGAACCGTACAAGGAGTCGTGAATTTTTTTCGGAAAAATTAACAAATCGGGCCTTTTTAAATTATTTCAAATCGATGTCACGAAGTCATCTATTAGATTCTAACTCTAAAGTAACTGCGTCATCATCCTGCAAATGTCTCGTTATAGGTAGTGGTACCTTCACATACAGAAGATATTTTAACAGATTTACTTATCATTAAATCGTAACCCGTAACCATCAAATCCTTTAAAAGAAGAAGCAAAAAATATACACAAAAACACCCAGTTCTGTCCAAATATGCAAAGATAAGTCTTTGTCGTATCGATTGGATCTGAAGTCATTGATGTTCTAAATGTTCTATACCATCACTTGGTCTTCAAAGTTGGACTGATGATTTTGCATCATTCCGGTCTGGGGAGCGCAAAAAATTGCAGTTCAAGTTGCTTGGTCGAACGCCGCCAGTCTAAGTCAAAATCATTTATTTCAATTAGACCAGGAAGGTACTTTTGAACGTAAAACAAAATATTAAAATATTAAATAAAATGTGTCAGTCTGTCGATCAGTCCTTTAGTAATGTTATTTGCTGCAGTTTGTAATGTTCTATCCATGCTTATTAACTTATTTATAACCTAATTGGTTATACGAAAGTAAACTGATCAGTTTTTTATTCTTATCTATTTTTTCCCGAAAAAAGAAATGGTGAAGTTTGAAGTTAATCTTGTCTGTTTTAAAATTGAATTTGTTTCATTCCTCCTCTCTTAACGATATCTATCTCTTCTCTTTTATAATAACTATCGTGAGACATACTGAGTTAATTAAAAATGACAGGTTAGTCAAGTAAATATACTGAGAAAAGCTCTACTACTTTCGAGTTACAGAGGGACTCTCATGAGCAGCGTACGCGATCGCGGCGATGTCGCGCAGAGTACTATGAGAATAAATATCTCCTTCAATTTTCTGACTTGTAGTTACCACTGTTGGACTTATAAGACGAAAGAGACGCTAACCTCGTTAAGCTTCTTTTCAGAGTATTCGGATAGGAAATGCCGATACCATCTAGTTATTTTTTTGAGTTGGCGTTCAAAAGTGTACTTTATAGTCCATGGCTGATTTATCATTAATCATTAACTCAATAAAAAAGCCGTTGTGTACAGCCAGAATAGGCCTCAACCTCTCGATCGAAGCCACTAGCCTACTTCGAAAGGAAACGACACTGATTAATGTTTCGATAGCCGCGTCTCTAATTATTATCAAGTATTTTAAAAGTTTTGCTAATGTGTCTTCTATCTATACATGGACGGTTGATTACAGATGTTTAATTTAAACTAGGTATATAGATTTTTGTTAAATCCGTGTCATAAATATTAATTTATGTTTTACCTAGCTTTAGCTTTTGAATTTATGTTCGATATCCTCTCTAAAACTCGAGAACGGCTTAACCGATTTGGATAATTTTGGTCTTGAAATGTTCGTGAAAATCCGCGGAAGGTTTAAAATCTTAGTAGAGAGTAGAGAAGTTTGCCGGGACAGCTAATTAGTAAATAATAAAAGTATCAAAGTATAATTGGTAACAATTACCCTCCCCTTCCCCAATTTCCCCAATTCCTGAATCCCCAACGATCCTCAAACTCCTAATCCCCAAAAGGTCGGTAACGCACTTGTAACGCCTCTGGTGTTCCAGGTGTCCATGGGCGACGCCGATTGTTTACCATCAGGTGATCCGTCTACTCGTTTACCGGCTTAGGCCATAAAAAAAAAAATTCCGTAGCTCCACTTGGTCGAGAAATTTTAAACGCAATCACACAAAAGACTTACTCCTTTTTTCAAGCCGAAGCCCCGGCTTAGTTTAGTTAATTACTCAATAGTATTCCTATTTCATATTGTTTATGTAGGTACATGTTTATGTCAAATTATATCTGTTTGTTATGTCAAATTATATATGTTACTCGTATCATGTAATATGATCGCCTTGGTTAATCTATATCGTATGTAGTGTACCATGTACGTCTGTACTAAATATCGTTACTAATGTCATACATTCGTTTGTCTGTCTTTCATTAGAAATGCTGGTGTACTCGCGTAAATATACTGAGAAAAGCTCTACTAGTTTCGAACCACAGGTTTCTTCCTCATGAGCAGCGTATTATACATATATCGTTTTAAAATAGCAACCGTAATTTCGCCTAGTATCCTAAAGAAGAGGTTCAATTGTCTATTTGTTAGTTTGCATTGAAGAATCTCCGAAATTGGGATGATGACAGGGCATGCAAATTAAAAATAGTCAGCTAGGTAATGAAAAAATATCAGACACGTATTTTTTTATTTTGTCGTATAATAAAATAATACTTAGATAAAACGAACCAAAGTTTAGAAGTGGGGACTAAAACGTCATTTCTACGTATAAAATGTATATGACGTCACGCGACATTTCAAATCAATATATCGCCGAAAGTATTCGTTTCCGGAAGAAAATAAAAATACCTATCTAATGTTTTAAAATAATCTACAAGGCGGACATTAAAATAAAAATTAGGCATCTACCCTATTGCTTGGCCGATTTGAAAATTTCATTTAATATTAGAACACTTACTTTTCAACGAGTAATATAGGCTAGTTTTCCTCTGTCTGTCTGATATTTCTACAAGGTCGGGACCTACTCGAGGGAATCTTGAATTGTAAGCAGGCGAAACCGAAGGCAGAAACTAGAATGGTAATACATACCTACTTAAAATCTGCATGTTAATCTGGCCATATTAGATAATGTGTGTCAGATATTAATATCATGTTTTATGTCTACAGTCATTTTGATTTCTGCTTTGGGGACAAACTGCTTGTCGGTTCAGCAGCTGTAGCCAAATGCCATCCAGCGCTTGTCTACATGTAGAATAGAAAACCAAATTATATGGAATTGATGTAAATGTTGACACTTGTCAGTGTCATCCCCATACATTTAGTTTTCTACTCTCTCTGTAGACAAGCGCTAAAGTGTCTAAAGGCACCGAGATCGTACTTACTGACTGACTTGACTGCTAAGGTAAGTTCATACTTCATAGTCTTCATAGTCTCGGGTTATTTTGCGTAGATGTTAAGGTCTGGACTGGCTAAGCACTGCCTCATTGGCCGAGTGATCGCAAGTTTGACTGCCGGGCAAGTGGTCTCGGGTTTAATTCCCGGGTCGGGCAAAGTATTACTGGGTTTTTTTTTAAATCTCAGTCGTAGCACGGAGTCTGGAAATGTGCCCGGT